ATGGATGGATGATGGATGGATGGATGATGGATGGATTGATGGATGGATGGATGATGGATGGATGGATGGATGGATAATGGATGGATGATGGATGGATGGATGATGGATGGATGGATGGATGATGGATGGATGAATGGATGGATGGATGGATGGATGGATGGATGGATGGATGGATGATGAATGATGGATGGATGGATGATGGATGGATGATGGATGATGGATGGATGATGGATGGATGATGGATGATGGATGGATGGATGGATGGATGGACGGACGATGATTAATGGATGGGATGGATGGATGATGGATGGATGATGGATGGATGATGAATGATTGATGGGTGATGGATGGATGATGGATGGATGAATGATTGATGGATGATGGATGGATGGAGGATGGATGGATGATGGATGATGAATGATGGATGGATGGATGGATGGATGGATGGATGGATGGATGGACGGACGATGATTAATGATGATTGATGGATGATGGATGGATGGATGGATGGATGGATGGATGGATGGAGTTGGATCAGTTGGGATGAATGTAATAGGATTATGGCAGGATTGGGGCAGGATCAGGTTGAGATTCCAGAGAGGAACTGGGGCAGAATGGATGGAGCAGGATCAGGTTGGGATTCCGGAGCAGGATTGGGGCAGAACGGATAGAGTAGGATTGGGGTGGGGTCAGGTAGGATTCTGGAGCAGCTCCTGCTCCCCATGGGCTCCAGCCAGGTCCATTCTGTGGAATGGGGACAGGGACAGGGTGACACCGTGACCCTCTCTCATCCCGTCAGGAATCACCACCGGAGCAATCCACAGAGCTGGATACAGCCCTTTCCCTCTTCCCAGGAATGCTGAGAGCTGCCAGCAGAGCTCATCCCACTGCTGCCACCCACCCCACAGCTCTTGCTAACAGATCGATTTCCTGTTTTCCAATATTTTAGAGCCAAAACCCACAAATATTCCTGATGCTTTAGTTCTGGTGTGAAATTATCCTGCTTGGGGCAAGAAATCCTGCTTGGAGCAATAAATCCTGCTTGGGGCAAGAAATCTGGGCTCCTCCTCCAGTGTCAAGCAGTTCCTCTCTGGGAGCCTGGAGTGGGAGTGGGGACACTGGGGACAGGGATGGGGACATTGGGGACAGGGATGGGGACACTGTGAGTAGGGATGGGAACAGCAGGAATGGGAATGGGGACAGTGGGGACTGCGGTGGGGACACCAGGAGTGGGTTGGGGACACCAGGAGCAGGCTGGGGACACAAGAAGGATGGGGACAGGAGGAGTGGGTTGGGGACAGCAGGAATGGGTTGGGGACACTAGGAGCAGTGTGGGGATACCAAGAGTGGGTTGGGGACACCAGGAGCAGGATGGGGACACCAGGACTGGATTGGGGACATCAGGAGCAGGATGGGGACACCAGAGCAGTGTGGGGATACCAGGACTGGATTGGGGACACCAGGAGCAGTGTGGGGACACCAGGACTGGGATGGGGATACCAGGAGCAGGATGGGGACACCAGAACAGGTTTGGGACACCAGGAGCTGGGTGGGGACTTGCCAGCCACGCCCAGCTCCATTCCCCAGGATTCATTTCCCTCTCCATGTCCCATGTCCAAGGTGTCCCCAGGAGGGTTTGGCCACATCAGGCTCCTGGAGGGGCAGTGGGACGGGGGGAGGGGTCAGGCCAGGCCTCGCTGTCCCCAAGTGTCCTTGAGTGCCCCAAAATCGGTGCTTGGGATCACAGAGAGGTTCCCTGGCCATGACCATGGCCATGACACAAGCACAAGATGGCCGTGAGATGAGAGTTTCCATGAGTGACACAACCCTGAGATGACCATGACCCTGGGATAACCATGACTGTGACCATGACCAGTAGATGACCATGAGATGACCATGACCATGGGATGACCATGACTGTGACCATGACCAGGAGATGACCATGAGCATGACACAACCACAACCCTGACCATGAGATGATTTGGACCAAGAGATGACCATGGGTTGGCCATGGGACAGCTGCGGCCTTGAGGTGATGCTGATGTGATTGTGGCCATGAGATGACCATGAGGTGACAATGACATGATCATGAG